CGGAAATAAACGGAACATATATTTTAAGATATTCTGGGCCGGCGCGGTGTGGCTCACGCTTGTATCTCAGCACTTTTAGGGAGGCCGAGGCGGGCGGATTCACGGAGAGGTCAGGGAGGATCGAGACAGCTGCTGGCCTAATACGCGTGAAACCCGCGTCTCTACTGAAATAATACACAAATTAGGCCGGCAGGTGGCAGGTGCCTGTAATCCCAGCTACTCGGGAGACGTGATGGCCTGGCAGAATGCTGAGAGGAGCTGAGCTTGCAGTGAGCCGAATTGAGCCCACTGCCTCCAGCCTGGGGGAGACAGCCAGGACTTCCCGTCTTAAAAAAAAAAAAAAAAAGATATTCTAGGAATGGGCCCGTGGCCTCATGGCCTGTAATCCCAGCATTTTGGGGCCGAGGCGGGCGGCATTACCTGAAGGAGCTCTGGATGTTCGTGACCAGGCCTGGGCAACCATCATTGAAACCCATTCTCACTCATACAACACAGTTACGCAGCGTGTGGTGGCATTGCGCTTATATCCCAGCTACTCGGCAGGCTGACGGGTGGAAGATTGCTGAACCTGCGGAGGGTGGAGGTTGCAGTGAGCCAAGATCGCGGCCACTGCATGCCCACTCGGGTGGCGAGCAGGACTCCTCTTCCAAAATCACAAATAAGAATAATACAAAATTTTAAAAAAACAATGTTATATCACATTCTGAGAGAATAGAGGTGAAAAAAGAATTTTAAAAAATAAAAAATTTCTAAAAAGAATAGGCATCAAGGGGCGCGGGCATTGGTGGTTCACCTGCTCTGCACATCACGCCGCACATTTGTGAGGCTGGAGCAGCGTGGAATCAGTCTGAGGACAAGGAGCGGCGAGACCTAGGACTGGCCAACATGGGTGAAACCCCATACTCACTTACTTTCCTGCTTCAGTGAATTTATAACCAGTGCTGTGGTTTTGCATGGATTTTTAAAGTATGAGGAAAAGAGATGATTGAAAACTTCGGTTGTCAGGGTAAAAACTGACTAGTGAATTTCAATGTACTTTTAAATGAAAAGTCTCTGGCCACATGTAGAATTATTTAGGAATATCTCATCTTTATTTAACTAATATGCTTATTTTTGAAAAGTTGAATCTTGAATATCTCTCTTTGATATATATGTTTTTTCTCTTTTTCTTTTTCTGTTTTTTTTGAGAAAGGATTTCACTCTGTTGCCCAGGCTGGAGTACAGTAGCACAATCACAGCTCACTGCAGCCTCACCTTCCTGGGCTAAAGGGATCCTTTCACCTTAGCCTCGTGAGTAGCTGGGACTACAGGCACACGCCACCACACCCAGCTAATTTTTGTTTGTTTGTTTGTTTTCTGTAGAGACAGTTTCACTGTGTTTCCCAGGCTGTTCTCAAATTCCTGGGTTCAAGCAATCTGCCCACCTCTGCCTCCCAAAATGCTGGGAGCCACCATGCCTGGCCCAATTTTTTTAATTTTAGAGTTTTTAGTATCCTATGACCGCTAAAAGATTGGAATTCCTCCACGTTCATGTAAATGTTATACCTCCTTTCCACCAGGATTCCGAATCCTTGTTGGGTAAAATTCTTTCTGTACTGTGGCTAATGGATTTCTAGTGTCGCTTCAACCTTT